AGAATCCTAAGACCTTTACCTCCCTACATGGTCCCATCTCTTCTGCTGGCACAGAATCCATACTATTTCAGAGCTAAAATAAAGCTAGACAGAAAATGCCCTACTGCCACTACTGCCCAAGTCAGGATCTTATCTCAAAATATGTGTTTTATTGAAGTTAACTTCACAAAAGAAATCAGTACTAGCTCTGGTCTGAGAAAAATCAACAGATAAAAATGCATCTGATTCAGAACAAGTCCACAATTAAACTTTCCAGCTGTCTGGAATACAAATTCTTATAATATCAGCAGAAGAAACCAACATTGGCACTAAATAGTAAAAGCAACATACTTAGCAAAATGAGAGTGCTGCATTTTGAATGAGCTCTACTTTCAAATTCATCACTACTGAAAAGTTTTCTAATACCAAAAAAGCGGCTGATTTTAAGTCTTAAAAAAAAAAAAAAAGGAATGTTAACATTTGGAATTTATTAGGGAGGAGAATGTAGTCACAGAGGGGGATCTAATTAGCAAAAATGCATTCAAACATGATTAATTTGTAATCCTGGCACCAGCTGCATTCAACCAAATGCTATACTTTATGAGACAAACACTAGTGAGTATTACATCTGTTTCATGCTAAGATAACATCTGTTTTATTCACTCACAAGACTTTTCCAGTTTTACAGCAATTTATACTTTTCCTAGTACTCCATGTCAATAAAAAACATATAGACTTATGGGTAAGCATTGTAAGAGCATGTTTGCCTTAATGTAGGTTCAATTTCTAAGTGCTCAAAAAAGAAGTTACCAATATTAGAAGAAAAAAAATTCTCCAGGACACATATGGAATTGCATATAATTTTAATTTATGCAATTGTATTCTAATAATATTAAGCATTCAAAACAAAATATAAAGGACTCTTCCTCTCAAAGGCAGTGCAAAGTCTAGAACTCAGGTTTCCTCAAGCTCCTTAGCCAAGTCATTCAGAACACTTAGCAAGCAGCCACAGTTTTAGTTGAGTTTTTTTAAAAAATAAAGAGTACAAGAAAAGCTCTAATGTATTTTCTTTTTTCACAAAACTAAAGCACAGTTTGTGTTACTGAAAATATTTTTAGCTGTTCGATTTAGGATAGAAAGATTTGAAAACTTCCTCAACTGTACAACCCTATGTAGACAGCTGCTATCAATGTTTCTGGTTGCAAATCATGCCTTCAGCAAACATATTTAATCCACATACATGGTCTCTTGGCCAGTGAACCTCGCATCCATCTGTTAGGATGGCATGGTTCCACTTAGATCATACTTTCAATTCAGAGTAAATGTACCCAACGACCACTCAATGTGTACTCCTTTGGAAAGATACTACAAAAGTTCTGGACTGCTATTTTTTTCTGGTTATGGCTCACGTTTAGTTTGTGAAGTTCTAATTAGCTGGCTACCAGTTTCTCCACTTTTTCTCATCTTTCTTTTATTCTCAGAATGTAAAGAGAGACAATATAAGCACTCAGAGAAGGAATCCCAGTCTTCTTATCCCGCGTGTCTGAAAGACTTAAGATTTGTTACTTTTATTCTTGGGCTCTTGTAAGTAGCCACATTATTAAAAGAGAATTTTGTATCAGAAGACTAAATGCTTACTCAAAAGGGATGAAGAACAAATGAAAACCCTGAAATGGTTTGTGTTACAGTACTCATTTGCTATGTGGCCTTGGCTCATTCCTGTTTAAGGCTTCTTCAGAGTTTGCATTTGAACAAACAATGATAGCTGACAGAAAAGATGATAAAATTCCTCCCTTTCTATTGTTTTCATAGTAGAACATGTTTCCAAAAGAGTTTACTTGAGGTGCACCTTCAATACATACATCCAGTGATCTAGCTGTAGGCATCTGTTCATTGCAGTGGAGTTGGACTACATGACCTTTAAAGGTCCATTCCAACTCAAAGAATTCTGTGATTCTATATTCAAAGAAAGATGTCAGTGCATACAGCACAGTATTGCATGTACAATACAGCAGCAGTTGTTTCAGTAAGTGCCAACTATTTTTATTTTCGTTGTGTATGTGTGTCTTGGATAGGAAGAGTGCCTAGGATAAAAAATACACATATTGCAATACAAGTATTCCAGTTAAATATAGTTGTTCCATTTTATATGTAGATCTAAAAAAAATCTACTTATTTTAGGCATCTTCAAAGGAAAATGACTCACCTAATTCTTTTCACTGGTTAAATTTAGATGTGTGTACAGCTGTATTATTTTCCCATAAAATGATTCTAGGGAGAAAACCAGCCAGAGCTGGTTTCCCCTACATTGTAGATGTTGGTTTGACATTGGTTAATGTTTGAAATATGTTCTGAGTTTTGCACATTTAGGATATTCTTCCATAAAATTAGTATTGATTAGTAAGGGACTGCTTAAATTGCATTACAAGATCACAGCATAATTACAATTAAAGGATTATGTGCCAGATTCTGCATATTGTTTTATCTCTTTGTGGTGCTGGTAGTTTTGGATTGCTTTGGATGCATGAGATGATTATAAAACAACATACAGTAGACTGTTAAACTCTCTTCTAGATAATGATTACTTGCTGAAAGAACCATTGCTATTCCTGAGGTAGGAAAGTAACGGCATAGTTGTCTAGCAATGTATTCAGAAGAAAAACAGTTAAATGATATTAACAGAAATGACTGAAGATATAAAAAGCTGCGAGGAGGGAGGTATAGCTCCTGATTTTACATACCAAATTAAAAAAAAAAAAAAATTGAAATATTCCATGCTTCTGAAGAATTGCAAGATAACTAAATGAATTTTCAACTAACACTCTTATTAATGCTCTATGAAAATAAACGTTACCTTAATATTGGAAAACCACAGGTCATTTTCATGCAGTGTAGCAACATAAACAGAAGTAAGAAGTCCAAGAAAGATGGCAACAATTCCACCAACAGTTAGTGAAAGTATATTCCACAGCTTTCCACCTGTATGATCTTGGAAGAGAAATATTTGACTGTGTAACTGTGAAGTCATAATTCAACTTCAGTGAACTTTGGAAACTCATCTATACACTGTCTGTGCTAGTATAATTTACATTTCTTAGGCATCAGGACATTGGAATTTCAGAGCTCTTTATGGAGATGTGTCTTTATTATTTCATGCAAGAACTAAGAATACATGCAAAGCGAAATAAGGTGTGCCTTAACTGGAAATACAGTTAGAATTTAAGAACACAACAACTTTATACAAATAGAGAAATAACATCTAATTTGTAAATCTAAATTGAAATATTCTCCAGGGCAGCATTTCTAATTAGAGCTATACAAGATGACTGTTACATCACAAAGACATTGAGATCTTCAAACTTCTTAGTATAGCTGCCAGTTGGTTTTTTTTTGGGAGGGAGAGGAGGAGAGAGGAGGGGTATTTTTTTTTTTTAATTAAAAAAAAACTTTGAAGGCTCAGAAGTTTCAGTAAGCACTCGCAAGGAGACCAAACAGTGGCCAAAGCAGCCTTTGATGATAGTGTCAAGTTTTGAAATGCAGATAATCTCCTTTTCACATCAGAATGAGATTACAGACAGAACAAAGGGAAGAAAAGGTTGCGTCTCCAGGCAGCTCAACTATTGCATTAGTATTGCACTGTAAGCATTGTATACATTCATGATTTTTTTTAATGTTGATATAAGACTTAATATGGATTTTAGTGATCTGGAATTCTGTCCCTTTAACGGCTATTTCATACTGTGTGCTACATCTATATAAACAGTAGCAAATACACAATTCAATGGAGCTGAGGGCTGGACAATAACATTGTACTTGTGTGCAAGCAACTGAGGTTACTTTCATCTACCAAAAATACAGGAACTCTGAGAATTTGGGTCAAAAAGTTCCTTAAACTAATAAAACCCAAACAAAATTGAAAATCAAAACTCTGATAACTCTGAAGTTATAAATCCAAAGAACACTGTTAGTACTTCATTATTTAAACAGATCCTCAAATGAAGACACTTAAAGTCTCTCTTTTAAACTCATCTAGATAGTCTGTTCTGTACTACAGGTGAGAGTTTGCAGTTAAATTAATATTTCATGTGCAGTTTGCTTATACTTAAGTACAGTTTGTCAGAGGTCTTCAAATTCTTTTGTTACTGATGACTTCTATATCTTCAAGAACCTATGATTGCTATATGACATCTGATAGCATGTCACTATTACTAAACAGACAGAACAATTTTTGCTTGAAATTAAATTTAAATTAGGGTTTTAAAATGGAGGTGAGAGTGTTGTGCAGTAGTCTGCATAACCTTAGTCTCATCCAGTTCATTTTGGTAACAGATGTTCAAGTATGAAAATTTATTTGGTATGTACCTCGTCCTAACCCATGTGCCTAAGACAGAAACCTGAAGCCAAATGCTACCAGAAAGCCATAAGATTACAAGCCAGTTCATTTACCCACCAGACAGAATTTTCCCCTCAGACTTCACATTCTTCTCCTCTGAAGGCTGATCTTCATCTGCTTCTGGGACTTTTCCACCCTTTCTCTGTCTTATGGTTGTCATGATGACAGTGACTTTATTATTCTTCAGTCTGACTCCTAGGTGGACACATAAACAGAATGCATCTTCCTACCCAAACATTCAGCTACTACTGTATGAATGTCTGAAATTTCTGTATGAGAACAGAACTGTATCTTATGCCATAAGAGACTTTAAGTTACAAAACTGTAACTGAGTGGAATGTGTCTTACCAAAATATAATAATTCCATGTTGTCTCTTTTTCTTTTTAACAACTCAGATATTAAATGAAATTACATTTACCTTTAAATGAATTACATTCATTCATTAAATGAAATTACCCTAAATCTGCAGAGATTCCAGTTCACAATCTTGCATGCTCTTGACAAGGTTTTCAGAATGGTTCATAGTTTTGGCTGCCCTCACTTTTGGGTTCCTGACTCAGAACGCACATCAGGCTCCATTGCTTCGAAAATCATGAAGAGTGAGCCTTTCACAGAAAAAAAAAAAAAAAGGTTCTTTCAGGGTATTTTCGTGGGTACCTAAAATAGACAGCCATTTGTTTAAGTCTTGGCTTTCAAGAAATCCCAAAAAAGTGGGCTGTGGGATGCAAAAACGTTGCCAAAGAACATGTGCTAAAAAAGACAACAGACATCTTTGATGTTTTGTACTATGAAAGCCTCATAAAATACAAAAACATTTAAAAAAAAAAAAAAGCAGCTAGTCATTCTTTTGCCCATTGACAGCTCTCTGTTCTGTGAGTGGTCCACCAGCGAAACTGTTTCAAGCTGCCATTCTGTATTTGGGAAACGGTGATTTCCTGTCTTGCATGCTCGAACGTTAACGTTCCGTGGTGCAAACACCGCTGTTACGGTTCGCACGAGAGCGAGCGAGTAACGGCGCTTATCGTCTGAGAAACAAGCCTCAACCGCACGGCTTTTTGGCATTGAATCGGCTTCACCTCTTTTTCCTTTCCCCAAGCCAAAAACACCTGGAGGGAGGTGAGCATTTACCTACGGCGTTTTTAAGCAGCTGGTTTGTAGAAAGCACAATAACACCGTAATTGGGGCAAGCCGGTCATCGCAAGCACGCTTTCTTAAGCTGGCTCAGCCAGCTTCCATTCCCGCCTCGTGCCGGACGGATCGCTTTCGCCAGGCGCAGGGAAGCCGCGGTCCCGCCTCCGAGACGAGGTGAGGCCGGGTCGGGTCAGGCCCTGCGGCGCGGGATCGCGCGGGGAGGCGGCGGCGGGCGGGTGGGTGGGTGGGTGTTTGAGGGGACCGAGGGCCCGCGCCAGAGCCGCACCGGGAGCGGAGCGGCCCCGGGGGCCGGGCCTGGGCCGCCGCTCCCTTCCGCGCCGCTCCGGAGGCCGGGCCGGGCCCGGCGGGCAGCGACGCGCGGCGCCGCCTTTCCGCTCGCCGCGGCCTGCGCCGCCAGCCCGCCTCGCCCCGTTCCCCACCGCCCCCCGGTACCTGCCGGCGTTCCCGGGGCCGCGGGGCGGCGGCTTGTGGCGGCTGGTGGCGGCGCTGCCTGCGCGGATGTGCCGGGCCCCGCCGCGAGGAGGGGAAGGGGCGGGGGTGGGGGCGGACGCGGGGCCGCCGCTCGCTCTGCCGGGCGGAGCGGAGGGGCTGCGGGGAGCGGCGCGCTGCGGGCCGGGCCGCGCCCTCCCCTAATGCTTGCGGGCTCCGAGGAGGGAACGGACGGGGTTCTGTGGGAGCAGATACCGGCGGCAGCGCCCAGCTGCAGACCCGCCTCCAAAATAAGCGTTCCGACTTAACGAGTGCCACCCTTATTGCAGCGCCTTTAAAGCTTTTTGTCATAGCAGAAAGTTTCCCCCTAAAATCTTACCCGAATGCTGACTCCCACATCCGATCGCACAAAGCAGATTTCCCCCAAATCCACGCAAATACCGTGATACGGGCTGAAGTGGAGTTTACTTCTTCAGCACAACGGTCAGGTGCTTTTCCATCACCATTTTGCAGTTCAGCAATACTTACTTTTTGGTTCCACGATTAGTTCAACACCAGTGTTTGAAACAGGCAGAAATTCAGGGAAAAGCAAACTGTAGGCACCCCAGTGATTCGGAGCTGTCAGACCAACATCTCAGAACATGCGAAGTCAGGAAGATTTTAAGGATCTATTATGCACGCATGCTATGTTTTATAATTAGTTTTTAGAAGAAATGGAATGTCTGTTTTCTTTTAATTTATCTGATTAAGATCCCCAGTTAGTTAAAAATTTCTACTACAAGTCAGTTTAGAACTGATCAGACATACACTGAAACTGTAGAATTACAGGCATTAGATGTATTATGAATAGCATCAAAACTACAGCCTCGTCATGCAGGTCAGGTGTTTGCTAAAATTAACATACTGTATATGAATCAAACAAATGATTGAGTATGTGTATTTTTGTAAAGAGCAGCATATTGCATTACCTTTTAAGCAGTTAATTCTCACTATGTTACCTTCCAAAGCTATGGGACGTTGCCGCGTTGTTGTGATTCCCTTCCCAGTGGAGTGGCAGGGCTTCTAACTCATTTTCTCCCAATTCCCAGCAGTCCTGCAGTTGCTAGGTTCCAGCACAGCTCTGTCCAAGCAAGCTGTGTGCCCTGATCCATCTCTATGAGCAGCCACCCTGGGAGGGAAGGTGTGGGAGTATGTATGCGCAGCAGAGAAGAATACCAGCAGAATCACAAGACCAGGATATTTGTGGGGGGTAGAATATGTTCTGCTGAGGCTGTTTTGCTAGGGTGAAGGGAACATGGTATTTCAACCCAATGAATGGATAGTACCTGGATTCCATGACTTTTTTTTCTCCAGGTTTTACATTAAAGAAAATGTGAAAAAGTTGTACAACACAGCATTCTGTAGTGTAGCATCTAAACGTGTTTGCAGTTCCATTTTTTTTTTTTTTTAATCGTAATTGGTGCAGGGCCATAAGAGTAGCAAAAAAAGAAGTAAAATACCCTGTTTATGTCAGTGCAAGCCATGATAACACAAGTAGTGGGGACTCCAGTGAGACTTTCTCTCCTTGGCCAGCAGCAGCAGACTTGTGTGTGTGTGTTTGTTTGTTTTTTGGAGATGGGAGGAAAATCTGCAAGGCCAAGAAATACACTATGTGATTAAAATTAAGTTGCAAAACTTAGCTTACATGATGGATAAGCACAAGTCCATCACTTACCTGAAAAAAGAACACAGTATAAGGCTTTCACTCCATTTAAACTGGGGACAAGATTCCCACTAGCTGCATTATGAAATCTGAAGGCACAGTTCTGTCCTTCAGTGTTGCTCCATAACTGCATGCAGGCTCCCTCACATTGTGACTTGTTTCAGTAGTCTCATGTTTCATCACCACTGTTACTTTTACAAAACTTGTTAAAAGTGTTAACTCTATCATCAGTATTATTAACTCTTTCAACAGTATTAACTCTACTATCTTGACTCAATAGTGTGAAATGGTAATAAAAGTATTTCAAATACTTTTTGATTTAAACCCATTCCCATCTCTCCAAACATTGGTTCAGTGATCATTTTCCAATATAACAGTATTTCATGCAGGTCTAATAAAAGTGACTAAAGTGTTTAACAAAAAAAGTTTATTACCAAAATACAATATTAAAGTCAATACGTGACAAACTCCTGTAAAGCAAAATAAATTATTCTAACATTGTACAGTATTTCAGAAGGTAGTTAAAGTAGTACTACAGACTTTGCTTCATAGTTCCAAACAGTCATCTATTAGGAACACAATCCTAGAGAGCTTAAGGCATGCAGCTTAATGTGCTGGATAATTTCATAAAACAGAAGTCATCCTATTTAATAAGATACAGTATCAGCATTAACTGCAGTCTTTACATGTCAGTTTTGTAATTTTTTTTTTATACTTTGGCTATAAAAGCAGTGCCATAGTGTTACAATACCTTTTCTTAAAAAAATACATGTACCCATGTCCATGAATATCAAATGCAAATGTAAATTTCTATTAAATATATCTTAACAAATGTTACTTTGAGCACCAACTGTACATTTTAAAAAATGATTAAATAAGTGCTTCTGAAAGAGGAAAATACAATAACTCTGACTGAATCCCATTACTCCAGGTCAAGCATAAATCTGAAAGATGAAATATGCACCTATTTATCATTATAGCCTAGTATGAATGAAGTTTTCTCATTAGTAGAAGTACAGGCATTTAAAATCAAAGCTATAAGTAACAGTTCATTTTGCGGCCTAAACTCTAATTAAAACAAACAGGAAGAGAAAAGCTGATCAGCTGATAGTGCTGTGACAGAAGAGCCAAAAAATATTTTAAAAGCTTAAAAAAAGGGGAAGACTGCAGTGTTAGTGACTTTGAAATGTGCTTGAAAAACCCTTATATAACATGCAGCCAAGCCAACCATATACTTTCTAAAGCAGATAACCTGAGAAATACTTTGCTTTCAGAAACTAAGCCTATAATTACTTCACATGCAGAACTTCTGATAAAGGCCATGGGAATTGTGAGTGGGTAACTAACAGCAAGCAGCCCGGAGACAGTTAGAAATGCTTCTGTGTTTCCAGGAAAGAAGAATTTGTTAGCATTTGGAAGATTAATAGCGGTTTTTAGAGGCAACTAGCTTATACTATTGCGCAGTAACCCATGGTTTAACAGAAAAAAAGCAAAGAGCAATTGTAAATAGATACATTTTGGTTCCTAATCCCATTACAAGGAGTCTTGGTGCATTATACTTACTGCTGCAAGTGTGGCCTGAACGTAGACCCAAACTGTTAACTTTGAAGCTACTTGCTTCTCTTCTTAGTTTGTGAATACAAGTTTTTCACCTTTTCTCTCTCACTAGCAGAGCAACCTTATATAACTATCCCTTTATGCAAAAATAAGAATGTGGCAAACTATGGTTTCTGTGCATACTGACTGGTAGAGTTTAACTATCTCTAATTCATTTTGACATGATGTGAATAAATCATGTTTTTCAAATGTAAAATCCTTTTGTAGAAATATGAAATATAACTTTTAACATAAAATAGTACTTGCTTCACATCTGTAGTTAAAGTATCTCAAATACCTTATAAAAATGCTTTGATGTTATATCATGACCAGTTTTTGAAGTAAAATATATACTTTCCAATAGCTAATTTATAAACAAAGCAATATATATTTAATCCAAAGAACAAGTTAAGGAAATCACTTACAAACAAAAACCACAAAATGTAGCTGGAATCTTCATGCCTTTTGCCCTAGCATTTAGATTTCATGCTATATCATAAAGTTGTAACCAGACTTGCTTTTTTCTTCTCCTCTTTGCCACTTTCAGTCAGCAGTGCACAGCAGACTGTGTGCTACATACATGTACAAACAGCACCTTGGTTTTACTGCTGTAGCTCATTTTCTGCTAGCAGAAATGCACAAATAGGAAATAAAATGCTATTTTTCTAAGAGCAAGTCATTTTTAAGTAATAAGCTAATAAAAAAATCAGGTAACTGCATTCCCTTGTCAGGAACTAGGCATGCTTCTGTGCTACTGCCATTCTTTAAAAGCAGAAATAAATAGCCACGCTAGAAAGTTTAAATCATGTTATGAAAGGGCTTATCCAGATGTGCTACTATTTCATTCAATTGAAATGTCTATCTCAAACAACTTAGGTAGCCAAACATATACATAACCTCAAAAAGTTGCCTGGTAATTAGCCTGATCCCCACTGACAATCCCCAAATGTAGATAAACATCTTCTACTGCAGACTGCTGTTAGCAGGGGGAAAGAAAAAAGGGAGAGAGACTTCCATGTGTTCCTTAGAAAACAAAGTAATCCTCAATTCTCTTTACAAACTTGTATTTATAAACTAGCAGAATTTGTTCTACAACTGACTGTTTTTGATTATTTTGCTTAAAATATTGTTTGCCATGTTTTATTTTTTGAAATATAAATTTCTGTAGGAAGATTCTTTCTATGAACTATTTCTACAGTGACAACTGCCACACAAATGGGAAATTTAGGCAGCCAGTGGGATTTTGAAAGAACTCCAAAGCATGTAGGCATTACTCAAAATCCCAGCTCATCCTCATCTACATCCTTGGGATCTACATAAGTTTAAAAATCTCTTTGTAGCAATATTTGTTAACACCTTGATCTCATTAGAAAAGAGTCCTCATGTACTGCAAAATAATCACTGCAAGTTACAAGTGACATATGAG